TGTCCTGGCCAGCGAAGAATGACCCCATGCTGAGTGTGACGTATGCTGACATTGTGCAAGCGTGATATGAGAGAGAGGAAGGAAGCCACAAGACTCACATTGACTCTGAGATACGTGTGGCCCATCCTACTTAGGAAAATGAACATGCCACCTCATAACACAGTGCCTCTTGTGCTGAGCCCATTTCTCAGCTGAGAATGTGGAAACTGTCCACATTGCTCCGGTTGCTATCATGTCGAGCCCTCGTCTGTGCCTACCAAACTTGTTCTCACTCTCTGAACATTTGCTTCTGTGAATTGTTTGCTCGTTTGTTTGTTTGTTTGTTTGGAGCTGAGTATAGCTCAGGCTGCTGGCTGTTGCTAAGCTCGACAATTACTGTTCTGGCAGCTCCTGAATCTTCTAATGAGGTTACTGCCTGGAACTAAGTAAATAGCTGATGAGGCTGGAAAAAAGGGGGAAAAACCTCTTGTGCTCATATTTATGGACACGAGCCAAGGATCTACTTGGGAACAACCTCTTCCCTTAAAGACAACTACTATGGATGATGGCTCACCCTTCCGGAGATTCATCTCTTTTTTTGTGATATTAGTCATTGAAACCAGGGCCTCTTGTATGCTAGGCAAGCACTCTGTCACTGAACTACATTTTCAACCAAAACTTCAAAATTTAAAAATAATTTTACTTTATTTTATATATACGGGTGTTTTGCCTGCCTGCGTGTCTGAACACCGCATGCATTCCTGGTGCCCTCAGAGGTCAGAAGAGGGTGTCAGATCTCCTAGGACTGGAGTTGCAAATGATTGTGAGCTGCCATGTAGGTGCTGGGAATCAAACTCAGGTCCTCTAGAAGAACAACTAGGGCTCTTTCTCTTAACTTCCGTAGCTTCTCCATTTCTAAGAGTATTCATAAGCATCAACTGATTTGATCTGTACTTTTAGTTCAATATGAGGTGTCATTTCTTATAAAATATAGCAGATATACAGACGATATGGAGTAAAAACACCAGGAAGGAAAATAATAAGTATTGAATCCACAGGCATTTTTCAAAACTCACATTTCACAAAAATTAGAAATTAGTTATTGTTGTTATCTTTCAATGACATTGTTACTTCTTTTGTGTTTGTAAGCTTGTGTGCACCTTAGCACACATGTGGAGGTCAGAGGACAATTTTCTCCCACCATGTGGGTCACAGGGATCTAACTCAGACTGTCATGGTTGGCAGCAAGTACTCTTACCCACTGGACTAGGAAACCAACCTTCATTTGATTTGTTTATGTGGGGCAGGGGTGGAGGTGTGGTGTCACACTGGTAGCTGAGGCTGGCTAAGAGCTCACTATATAGCATAGGCTGGCCTCAAGCTCTTTGAAATCCTTCTGGCTAAAAAGGACAAAAATTAGAACTTTAACTATCATGCAAGACAAAGGGCTTCCCAAATTGATTTTAAAAATGTTTTAATACAGTCTAGTTATGGATGAAAACCAATTCTTAACAATCATATTCTGAATTTCTAGCACTATTCTGTTTCTCTAGTTTGTATTTCTTATTAGACAGCATTTCCCATATCAGACATTAAAGAAGGATTATGGCCGAGTGTATTTCATGTGACATAAATGTTCTATGAGCCAAGAAGGCTTGTAGAGGAATTCACAGTTAGAATGAATTTGAAAAAAAAATCTATTCCTGGTGTTTTCATTTTTCTTTTGACTTCAGTCATTTTGAGCCCTACTCCTCAAACAAACAAAACCTCTAAAATATAATTCCAGAAAGTTGTGGAGGGGAGGCAGTGGGCAAAATTGTTTTATGATCATGTGGTTAGGCTAAGTATAGGAAGATGACTTTGCAACTTGGTGAATTTTCCTATGTTCATCTTGTGATATCGCTGGCAGGAAGTAGTGCTCTGGTTAAGCAGTTCTCTGTGGCACATTAGCCTGAGGACTACCTAGAGAAGGCACCATGGCTTGCTCATGGTCATACTGGTAGACATTAGCACCTGGGAAACTCCTCCAAGCATGTGCATGTTTACTGAGCTCACTGTGGTACTCTAGCAGATGTACATGGTGGATGAAATAAGCTCTACATGTGAATGAAACTGTATTCCTTTAAGGCAGTACCAGAAATTCTATAGAGTTCAATGTAATACATCCATTTGCTGTCAACATCTCTTTCTTACTTCTGCATCAGCTTTCAAAAGTGTCTTTACTGTCTTACAGCATGGGGCTCAAAGAAATATTTTCAGCTCAGGGAACCATTTTTTTCTTGATATATATATATATATATATATATATATATATATATATATATTTGAAAAACGATATGGATGCATACCTCAAAAGTATTTTAAACATGTATTTTGTTTCTTTCTTCTTCTTGACGGGTTCTCTATTGCTTCTTTCTATTCTTTCAGAATCATATGGTTGATCATAAGCATCTGTGAGATTTTGAAGCTGCTTATGAACTGGTACAGTGGTAATTTCCAGAAGTGGTATCATAAATCATGGCCCTAGCTGAAGTAAAGCTATGAATAAGGTTAAAAATAATGAATTGCTCATTTACCTGTAGGTTTTCCGAGTAAAACTAAAAGAACCTTTTGTCTAGTTGCTTTGATTTGTCACTATATTATAGATAACAGCTGTTTAAGGAAATTTGGAATGTCTTTCATATTTTGCCTTTTATTATATTAGTATTAAAATAATGTTCCTAAATAGGTTTAGTGGTGGGTATATCACCACAACCAGACCCTGTCTCTTATGTAAATAAGCGAATTTGTCTAATAGGAGAACCAACAAAGTTAGATTCCTCTGATAGCTCTAGAATTTAATGACTTTGTTAGACATTTTATAAGAAACCCATTAACATAGTTAATCACAATTATACTTAAAATTTTTAAATTATATTCATTTATTTCACTGTTTGTAAAATAATGTATACATATGTACATTATTTTATAAAATAATGTATACATGTATAAAGGTCAGAGAATAACTGTGGAAGTTGGTAATCTCCTCTCATTCGAGTCTTGAAGATGAAGCTCAGACCATACTTGATAGCAAGAGCCATCTTACCAATGCACAAGTAAAATTTTATACCTTTGGGTCTGAATGAACCTAAGTTGTTCTGACTCAGCTTTTAAAAAAAATGTCCCATCACACCATAAGTTTTCCCATGAAGATAGTTATAACACACACACACACACACACAATCTTATTTTCCAGAGGTTGAAGTTTTAGGTGGTGCCTTCCCAATCCCTTCACCAAGAGACAATCAAATAGGCTGAAGCCATATTTCAGGGGTAAGCTGGCTGTGGGCATGGTCTTCAGGGACAATGGGTAAAGTGGAAAGTGAGATGGAAAATTAAAAGAAAGTGTTGAAGCAGGCCAAACTGGTTTACAAGGTCCTTTCTTGTTTAACACAGCAGAAATGTTGAATATAAATGGGCGTGAGAGATTATCTAAAACCAAAGCATTAAAAGATCAGGCTGGTAAAGGATTTTGATTTGGGATCTTCCCACATTGTTTTGAGGTATTGTGTAAGAACTCCATAAAACTCTGGAGAATGTTTTTCGGAGAAGTAGTTTCTAAGTTGTCTTTTAAAAAGTGTGTGTGTGTGTGTGTGTGTGTGTAAGAGAAAGAGAGAGAGAGAGAGAGAGAGAGAGAGAGAGAGAGAGAGAGAGAGAGAGAGAGAGAACTTGGAACAATCTATTCTCTCCTTCTCATTCTACCATGTGAATCACAGGAATGGAGCTCTAGTGGTTAGACTTGGCAGAAAATTTTACCTACTGAGCCATTTCACTGGCCCTCCAATATGTCTTTAATGTTTACTCCCAACATAGGTGTCAAGTAGACTGTGGCGGCTCCAGGATTCCTTTATCCTGTGGTTATCGATAGTTATCTTTGTATGTGACTTTAGTTATAGAATGTTTTTCAATAAGGACAGTGAAGGTGAGTGAGCTAAATGCAATTATTAAACGTCTGTGAAATTGGTGATGCTTGAAAACTAAGACTCATAACCAAAGATCTAAATAATCAAAGATTTAAATACGTAATATGAGTTAAGAACATTGGTCTCAATTGTGCAAAAGGGCTTGTAAAAACAGCCATCAGAATCATTGGAACCCTTGTTGACATAATAGCCTTGAAGCCAGATGTTTAGAGTGCTGTTAAATAGTACCCTCTTGAGATTTTGAGATTTTGACTGAGGACTTCTAATGAATAATACTCTATGCAGATGTAATCACATCCTATCAAAAAACCCACTTGATTTTCATATTAGAAAACACCAAAATATCAGATAAATATACTTTCAATATACTGATTGTTGAATAAGCATGGGCCCCTTTTAGAAATTGCGTTTGGGCTAAAAATTTTCATATATTAATACAAAGAAGTAGAATCTAATGCTGAATTGTCACCATTGTTAAATCTATTTGAACTGTCTTCCGTCTTGAATATCTTTATTCTTTTGTCATTAGTATAATTTTTAAAGTCAGCTTGTCTAGAGATTCGTGAAACAAAAGTTTTTTGGTATTTGGTGTTTTTTTTTTTTTAAATAGAAGGGTACATCTTTCGAAGATAGCTTTCCAGGGTTTGGGGACAAATAGAATAAACAAAACCGATGCCCCAGAAAGGGGAAGCATAGGCAAACAGGCATTCTCCTGAGAGATAACATATAGTGTGGTCTGACCAAGTCACGTGGTGGGAGGGGGCTCTTTTCTTTCTCCTCCACATCCCTTCCTCTGATGTCACAAGTCTATTATTTCCTGGGAGAATTAATTAGTATTCATTGGGTTGCAGTTGGCAAGAAGAAAAAAGAGAGGAGAGAGAGAGAGAGAGAGAGAGAGAGAGAGAGAGAGAGAGAGAGAGAAGGAGGAGGAAGAGCTTGGTGGGGGAACAGGAGCTTCCCGGGGTGCACTGGGAGTGGGGGCACAGAGTGGCTGTTTTATAACTGGGATCCTCGGTGACGTATGGTCGCCTGCTCCTTGGCAGCTGTCTTTATGGACCAGTAGGCAGAACGAAATTGACGCTGACAAGACTTTTGCATCTTGGAAGGCACTGTAATCTACTGTAGTGAAGAACAGAGCCTCTCAATCAGGCGGGTGTAAATAAGAGAGACAGAGGGGAGTCTAAAAGAAAAGGAAGAGGAGGGGGAAAAGTGTGTTGTGGGGAAGCAGGGAAAAGCATTTTTGGTGGATGGTATGAAGCCAGCCATGGAAACTGCAGCCGAGGAAAATACTGAACAAAGCCAAGAGAGAAAAGGTACCCAGCGCTCTGACAATAGTCTGTTTTAAAGCTTTTGACTGAGGGTTCTTGAAAGGGGTTAGCCAGGTTTTGTCTCTTGTAAAAAACGGCTCTAAAACAACCCACGGTGATGTGGTCTTGTTTTAGGTGGGTTTTTTCTTTATCCTGGGGGTTAATGTTAAATTAATAGTGTAGCCTCTCTCCTGTTTCTGTTGCAAGTATTTCTATATAACATGGTATTTCATAGAAGCATGTTTGTAGTTTGTCACCTTGGGCTTCTGGATGGGGAAAACCGTCTCTCTTTTTTTGCTAAAATAATTAATCATAACTTAAGTCCTATGCTCTGCATGCTATGTTCAGGGAATAGGGAATGCGTTATTCTGTACTAAAGACGACCTGGAGGGACATGCATGCTAAGTATGCTTTGATTCCAATAATACTGGAGTGATTTAGACATCCTCTAATTTTTAATTCTAACATGATTGTTCTTTCCATGTGTCAGACTATGATATGTAATAATCATTTATAGTGGGAGCTTAAAAGAGGACATCAGCTTTGTCCGACAGCACTGATAGAAGGGAAAAGATCTTTTGCTAATTAAGACTTAAATGATTTAGGGAAAGAAAAACTATCCAAGGGCTCCATCCTTCAAGGACATCTCAGACCATTTCACAGTTTTGATATTTAGATTTTGGAGAAATTATCGTTATTGCACAAAGAAAATGGCAGAAAAGAGACGCTGTGCCTCTAAGGTCAAGTTTGTTGCCCCATAGAAAGAGCTCAGCCAGTGTTAGGTTAACAGCGTCTAGCTGTGCTGTAAGTGATCTCTTCACTCCATGATAGAAACCATCATAAAATGCACCAACATGTTTTATAACTGCACTGGCTCAGTTTTTTAAAAAGCGTCATGCTAAGGTTTTTTCTCATGGCTTTTATACGCAATGGCAGTCACTAAATAATAGTAATTCTTGAGTCACGTTTTCTTTATGAACATATGAATTGAGCCATATGAAATTGCTGCTGTCAAACATTTTAAATATGAAGAACACATCTATATGTAGTTCAACTTCACAGTACATTCGGGTAAAGGGCAATTATTTTCCTATAGAATTTTTTTCTGCCTATATTAACATTTCATCCAAACAGACTAATTTCATTTTTAAAGTTTGTTTTATAGAAACATGATACAATCCACAGATTTACCATTTAACCTCTTTGAAACATACAATTCAGGGGCAACAAGTACATAGCAATTTAATTTGAAAGTCGGTACTTGAGTTCAATCCCGATACAAAGTGTACCTCTCCCCTAACAAAAGACACTCTGTCTTTTCTTGCATGTGATTTTTTTCTCATCTTTTTTTTTTTCCTAATCTGTGTGAATGGTCAAATAGCAATAAGAGAAACTCTTGGGAATATTTATCAAGTTTCATTTCCGTCACGATTAGTACTAAGTCAATTGCATGTCTGATAAAATACTTGTATCCTGGAAGAAACTTACTTCAGTTCATAGCATTTCTCTCCTAAAATGGGTGATTTTTTTTTTTTTTTTGCTTTCTACATGCTTTTTATTAACGTCGTGTTTGCCTGTGGCAGATAAACCCACTGTGACTTCTGACCTTTTGTTTTTCTCTCAAAAACAAAAGGCATACAATTTTCACTAGACAATTGTGTAGCTTATTCTCATTTGGTCTCACAGACTGCGGTTAGTGTGCATTTTACACATTTAATGGCAGGCCTACAGGTTGCCTCTACATCTCCAGTATACAAAACGTGGCTAGCTATTATTATAGAGGCAAAATTAGAAGCAAATACAATTTTTAGAGGAACTTTAAAGATGACCAGGATTCATAAACACTGGTTGTTATGTAATTTAAAAATGACAAGCTACTAAGCTAAGGTCACATGTATGATACATGTTTTGATAAGAATCTGGGGCAGAAAATTTATTCTCAATCTGCAACAAGGATTGTGGTCATGGACACCCCACCCACCCACCCAAAGCATTCTGGAAGGTGAGTTATGTACGCATCTTAATTTGGATGACCAAGTTCATATTCTAGCTACACAAAGTCCAAACTCCCACAACTATCTTTGTCATTCCCTAGTTCACTGGCCCATTACCCTAAAATAGTAACCATGAATGGTCCTGTACACCCATCACTTCTGTGTTTCTTCAGATGTAATGTTAAGTGTCTAAAACCTATGCTTAGTTCATCGACCTTAACATTTACAAATTTAGCATTATTATTTATAAAATGAATTGTGTGATTTTAGAATTTAGAGAATCCCCTCCTCCTCTTCTTCCTCCTCCTCCTCCTCTTCCTCCTCCTCTTCCTCCTCCTCCTTCTCTTCCTCCTCCTCTTCTTCCTCCTCCTCCTCTTCCTCCTCTTTACCTCTGCCTCTCCTTCTTCCTCCTCTTCCTCCTCCTCTTCCTCCTCTTCTACCTCTTCCTCCTCTTCTACCTCTTCCTCCTCCTTCTCCTCCTCTTCCACCTCTTCCTCCTCTTCCTCCTCCTTTTCTCCTCTTCCACCTCTTCCTCCTTCTCTTCTTCTTTCAAGAGTTTTTAGTTCCTAAATATAATCCTCTACATTTTTGTTACTTCACAGAGGTTTTATGCATATATTCCCACTGATTTTCAGTTGTTGATGGGCAGAGGCAATGCCTGTCTGTTAATTAGGGGTATTGATGCTCAGCGGCTAGCACCCAACAGCTTGTGAATGAATAGCTTTGGATAGTTATTACAGTGTCTATAAAGAATGCAAATTAAACTAAGATTTATAAATTGACCCCAGCTTTTCTGGTTAGTGTCCGTTCCCAGAGGGAGTTTACATAGGGCAACACAAGTGAGCTATTGCAATTCCGTAACTGCCACCAAGAGGTCTGGTTCTTCAGAAACTCAATCAGAATTGCTTTGTTCTTATTTCAAACAAAAATGATCCAAATCTTAACAAAAGGGGAAGGGTTTGTGGCTTTTCAGTGCTCTCATAGCGTTATCCCGGCATGCTGCTGAGCCACCAAAATTCACACAAAGTGTTCAGGGATACACAGGATTTGTGTGTTTTGTTGGTAATGGTGGTGGGTCTTTTTTTTTTTTTTTTTGGAAAGCCAGTGGGTTTTCTGAGATGACTATAGCAAACACAAAATTATTACAAGTGACAGTTTTTTAGACAGGAGCATAGAATTAAAGTGGCAGAACTGAGTAAACAGATTCAGCAAAGACGGAGTGAGCAGAGAAAATGAATAAAGCAATTAAAGGAAGTGGATGATGGCTCTGCTAATGAAAAGATGGAAAGCTGGGTTTCCATTTGTTTCTGTGGAGTATCACTTAGTGTCATTTGTGAAAACAGATGCGTCTGGAATTGCTGGCAGCATGTCATCGTGGGTTAGATGACAATTGAACCCCAAATAACTCTAAAGCTCTGTTATGGGGGAAGCAACAGAATCTGTGATGAAAATTATTTTTATTCCATGTAGGAAATTGGAATCTACTAGAATAATCATAAGCAGGCCAGTTCAGTTCCTGTAAATCATTGCTGAAACCAATTCCAGAATCCAAGTATCAAATTAAGTTTCTAGCCACGTTGGAAGAGAGAAATGTAGTAAATTAGAAATAATGTTGACTGAAAATAAATTGGAGGACAGAATTGGAATGTGAGATGAATTTGAATCAGTGCTTGTTTAGGAGAGGGGGAAAAAAGAACTTCTCTGGAACATTTAACATGCTACATTATTCTGAAGGATCCGTGGCATTCTTACTGACATTTACTAACTTGTCTATATGAACATGGTACAGGGAAAGTTTTAGATGCAGTTATTCTTTGTAAGAGTTTGCCAAGGTGAGCATCTGAAGTGGCAGTGCCTGGGGAAGAAGCTGTAGCAAAAAGTGGCTGGCCAGATGGTGGGGGACATATGTGGTAGGTATGACATGACATCCTGTGATGGTTTGGGGGGGTGGGGTTGTTGGTTTTTGGGGTTTTTTTTTTAAAGAAAATTTAAATGTGGAAAACGATCTGAGTGAGTTAGACTAGTTGTTCCTTTTCTGTTATCAGTTCCATGAGCACACTTTTTATCAACCTGGCCATGTTACTTTCATTAGACAATATATATATATATATATATATATATATATATATATATATATATATATATATGATGGGGGACCCCTTTTCTGAAAAATCAGATTTGTCTTCCTTGAAATTGAACATAAACCTCCATTGTGGCAGTAAATTGTAAGCTTGTGGTTTTTTGGCCCTTGGAAATGCAGGTCAGTTGAGGGTGAGAGCTCTTAGTAACACTGTTTCTTAGTCCTGCCGCATCAACGGAAGTGCAAAACATCCAGTCTTTGCAACGATGTCCACTCCCTTTCTCCAGGACTGCTGATGAGTTGGATTATTCCAAAGACACCCTTTCCTTTTTTGCCCCCTTTAGACCACATACACAGACACATGAGCTAATTGGCTAGAAGAAAGGGGTGGCCACAGGATGGCAGAAGAATGGGACACACTCTGGCTTTTGAGACAGGGAGGCTCCACTCCTAGTTTTACAAGTGTGCTTTGTTACTCACCATCTGTCAGTCATTTCTTCATTTAATAAGATGCTCCTTTGACATGTCGGCCTTCCCCCTTCCTCCCGATGGAGGAGGGATGCCATTCAGACATCAGTAGACATAGTATCATATGGGTTTTAGCCATATTGTGCTGGTTGGTGGCAAATAACCAGTAGCAGGGACAGAGACTTTTGATCCTCAGCCAGCTCCATGATACTTTTCTTCAGAGAATGACTGAGAGAAAATAAAAGAATCAGCCTTGTTTTACAGGCTGATTTTATTAATTCCATTAACCACTTTGTATATCAAGCCCTACCTACCACTTGATGCCAGGGCACAGTGCACTTTTCCTATAAATAGCCAGGTAGCACATATTTTACCCTTCCAGGCCACTGATCTCTGCTGTGCCTATGCACATCTACTCTCCTAGCATGAAGAAACAGTCACAGATGTATGTGCACAAGGACATGTGACAGTGTTCCAGTCAGATTTTATTTACCAAATGAGAAGGTCTGTAGGCCTATGTTGAAAGCCTAAGTCTTTCCCTTCACATTTTGCTAATGGGTACAGACAGACTATGACAAACACAGCTTTGAAAGACATTGTTCAGTGAATATGGTCTTTTGGCCAGCCATATTTATTACTTGGTTGTTCCAAGTGACAATTATTAAATGCTGAAGAGCATTCCACCCTAGTAGTCGCTTGTCCCCACATCATATTACCAAAGGAAATGGGGGATGTGGAAGGAAGCCAAGGCATTGCTTCCCTTTTTCCTCCCAATTTCCCATTATTTAGGTCATGCCCCCATTTTGGTGATGACCACGCACAGTTGTATGTGTCTCCAGGAGCCACCACAACCACTTTTCTTCTGTCATCTCAGAGGGAGAGCATTTTGTCATCTGCTTGTGTAGGGAATAGGCCATTTCCTCATTCTTGTCCATGCCTAGAAGCAGCAAGGTGCTTAATTCCTTTTAGATGTCTAGATCCTGTCCTTAGGATTAAAGTGTGTAGTCTGATGTCATACATGCTCTGTGTTTAATGACTCTGTTTAAGTTTGGCTCAAAAGTACAACACAGAAGTGATTTTCTTTCTAGGTCTTTTTTTTTCTCATACCTAAAGATTTATTGTTGGAGAAAGGCCTCACCAATATTAGCCCAAAGGATTGGAGAACGGCCATGTAGTTGTCCAATCTCATTTCCAGATCTGCTGCTCTCATCATATTCTTACATTCTCGGAAGCATTTTGAGAAGGCGTAGCCACCATATTTTACTCTGGGAAAGTGTCACAATTGGAGGCCCAGAGAGATGGCACAGTGCTTATGAGCACTTGCTGCTCTTGCAGAAGACCAGGGATTGGTTCCCAGGACCCATATGGTAGCCTCTTCTGATATCTCTGGGCTCTAACTTTCATGTGGTATACAAACATACACTCAGGGACACACATACACACACATAGCAAGAGAGAGAGAGAGACAGAGAGCAAGAGACAGACAGAGAGAGAGAGAGAGAGAGAGAGAGAGAGAGAGAGAGAGAATTTTTTAAAAGAAAAACACACTAATCCATGCATTTCCGCTGTCTTTAATCAGTGGCCACTGCCTGACTGCCCAGATATCTTCAGACATTCCCATCCATGTGAGGCGATGAGGACAGGGCATAAATCGACCTTCTGAACTGCAGCCATAGATATTATGTGCACAAGTGTATTGTGTGTGGAAGTGACAGTGTTCCAGTCAGACTTTACTAAGAGGAAGGGCAGCATGGTGGGGGTCCATAGGGCCCTAGAGTGGTCCTTTGATTTCAACAAAATACTTGATCCAGCAATTTATTGAGCACCTATTTTGTGTGGTGCATGTAGCAATAAACTTATTAGAACGAGATGAAGGTTGTGGGGGTACATCAATGGTAGAGCACATACCTAGGATGCATGAGATTCCATCTCTAACACCCTCACCTATACTCGCAAAAAAAAGAAAAAATTTTATATCAGAAGAAATTGAACTGCTTCAAATGTTTTTACTTGAGAGGTGAAAATAAAGGACTCATAGTCAGTTTTACCAAAAGGAGATCAGGATATACTGTGAGGTGACTTGACCATTTGGTCCTTTGTACCAGTCTGCCTGGGTTTCTTTCTGTCAGAGAATGTAGCATAATCTTTGTCTAAGAGAATGTGTGTGTTTGTGTGTGTGTGTGTGTTTTAATGTAATGAATTTTTTGTTTATTTGTTTTGGTTTGGTTTGGGTGATACCAAGGACCAAATTGAGGACCCCACACATGATAGGCAAGTACTGTAATGTTGAGCTACATATAACCTTTGCCCTGAAAACCAGGAGGCAAACATCTCATTCTAAGGGAGATAATGTTACATTTTATGAACCTGAATTAACAGAGGACCAGACCATTTCTTTAGGAATCTCAGAAGTACTGCTCACTTCCACAGGGATCTTATATAGCTCTTACTGGCCTTAACAACTTGAGAAAAAGAAAAAAGGTGGTACTTCTCTAAGCCTCAGTGAGGACGATACTAGGCTTTTGAAAGTGTGCCCTCTGGAGGATGATTTTCCAGCTGCATATCCAGACTCCACCTCCAGGCTAGGCAAGTGATGGATCTCTTTGTGAATTCTATTCTTCTGTCTGTCGTCAAGACTGAATGATAATTTCCTAGGGTGGTTATAGCTAGTGAAACAGCAGGCATCATGCGCATAACACTAAGGCTAGCACACGGTAAGCACTCCATAAATTATAATTATCATCCTTATTGACAACCCAAACAGAAGCAGCAAAAATAGCTTCATGGTACATTTCTGTTTTCACTTGAGAGCCTTTGTTTGCCCTTATTTCCTTAATTTTGTGTTATCAATGTAACCCAAGGTCTTACATATGCTACATAATTACTCTATCACTATAGCACACACACACACACACACACACACACACACACACACACACACACCTAGCTCTTCTTTTTCCTTTGAAATAAGACATTTTTATCTGACCTTGAAGCCAGAAAGGGTCTTCTCTAAAACACTCCTACCCAGCTTGTCCCAGTCTCAAATCTCTTGAGAGCTTTCAGAGCCTAGCAAGTGGAACTGGGTATTCCTAAGGTGGGTTAAGGTTTGTGGTGTACCTGGTGAGGGTGGGCATTCACTAGCTCCACAATGTAGTTATTTATCTGGTCTTCAATGATTTGAGGTGCCACGTGGAAAATTAGAGCCTCATCTGATAGAATCATTACCCACATCAATGCCAAAGGTATTTTTTTAATAATTAAGTTTTTTTGTAGTACCATAGAGTGCATCACCACTTCCTTCATTTTATGGAATTTATAGATGTGGACAGCCCATAGTGACATTTTTAACATCTTAAGAACCTCGATTAGAATTCCATTAAGAGTGACTGGGTGCCTATATTCTATGCCAGACAAATTGAGAAGTATTGTTGCTTCTCCAATCCCCCTAAGAAGTGGGAAATGTATTACCAGATAGTTACCTGGGTTTCTGGGAGGCCATTTGTTGCCATTTGAGGAAGCAGTTCGTTCTCTATGACACACAGAAAGATTATTGAAATGGGATTCAATTCAGAATATTCAGGACCATGTAATGTCCTGATTTGAGGATGAAGTGACCAAGACTATTTCAGGTGTCCATGGGAAGATGGGTGTTTCGTTATGAACTCAACAGGCCACAGAATAATTTAGCAGAGTTCTAGAATGGAAACCAAACACCACAACAGAAAGTCAGCCACCGAGCTCACCTTTGCTCATGCAGCTGGGTATAATTACAGGTCTCTGTCTGAAAAGGAAATAAACCAAAAGAAACACATTATGAGAAGCCACATTTTAACCATGAATAGTACCATCCCCAAATGAACATTTAACAGTATGAGATAATACAGAAAATAGAAACCAAAAAAAGTTCATAATTTGTATAAAGTTAAATTCAATTATGCAGGACAAGTGTCCAACTGATTCTGAAATTCTCATGTTAAATTGATAGATTGGTACTGAAGGGTTGCATTTTGATAGCATATTTTTTAACTCCCCGTTTTCCTTTACTATATGGTAAGAGAATAAATAGAAATGCTGATTATAGAATCTTTGCTGGAGAAAGACACTGACTCTTTGCCACTGAAATTGGCAGTGAACAGCAGAGCTGAAATGGAAATTGGCAGGTACCACTGGATGTACCCAGGCTCAAAGAACCATCAGTACCGTCCTGTGCCAACCCTGGGGGACAGGGCTGGCCCCTTGAGCAGTCCAGGTAAATACGGCCTTGGGGTGAATTCCATAAGCAACTCCACTGTTATCTTGATTGGGATTTATAATGGCTCTTTCAGTTTGATGATATTTTATGTTTTGCTTGATGCATTCATTTGTTGACATGGGTGTGGGTGGAAGTGGCCCTTTAATAATTTTTTAATCATTTTCATTTTTCCTCCCCCTTTCCATTCCACCCCATCTTTCTTCACCTTCTTCCTACCTTCCCTCTCTTTCCTCAACCCACTTCTTTGTATCAAAGGGAACAGTGTGCAGTGAGCTATGCTTTTGGGTTAACCACAGACGTTCAGATGTCTGAATCAGTAACGGGGAAGGGTATGTACATATCCACCACAGGGCCCAGAACTGGGTCAGAGATCTCAAGGAGCCTTGTCTCTGAAAGTATTGAGCATGTCTACATACCTCTTCAATGGTACAGCGCTGTACCACTCTCCTTTAGTATCAACCTATACCTCCAAGAAAGTAAAGCCTGTGAAATTAAGATCAGATAGTTATATATTGGGCAGGTAGTTCCTTTGAATTCAGTTTCCATTTTTCTTGCTTGTGAAGGGCACTCCTCTCTGTGACCATTAAGAGGCTAGGCTGAGAAAAATATATGTATGAGTCATTTGGTGGATTTGAGCTGGAGAAGATGCTAAGCAGTATGTATCTCCTCATTTCCAGCCGCAACGTCTGAATGTGTCTTAATGTTCTGCTCATGTAGCTCAGTGTAAGCTCATGTAGCTCAAGTCATGTAAAATATGATACAAAGGACTGGTAAGCTTAAAATACTTCTCTCATTTTGTCTCAATCTGCGATGCCATTTCTCTCAACTGTGTTGTGTAGTTGCTCAGGGATCTACCAGAAATGGCAGTGATAGGGGCTGGGGAGGTGTCTCAATGGAAAAGGTGCTTGTTTCACAAGCATGAAGACTAGAGTTCAAACCCTCAGCACCCATGTAGAAGCAGATAGCAGTGTGTATCTGTAATCCCAGCATAAGGGGCATAGAGACAGGTGGATCACTGGAGCTCACAAACAATTGATGAGTTCTAGGTTAAGTGAAAGGCCCTGTCTCCAAAAAAAAGAGGGGAAAGATCAATAGAGGAATATACCCAGCATTAACCTTTAGTCTCCGTGTGTACATGTGTATATGCACACACACACACCTCTAAAAAGAACAAAGAAATAACAGTATGGTGAATGACACTGGATATAGAAGTCTTGAGGGACAGTACAAATATCCTGTTGAATGGCAGATCTGCTCTTTTTCCTTTAAGACCTAAAATGGAGCCATGAAGTTAATTATCATGAAATCCAACTTGGAATTACCTCTGTGTCTTGGGTCATGTACTATGTCATTCCACATAGTGCAAGAGAGCCATATACACTCTGAGCTCCCTCCCAGACTCCAGATAAGGCACAGACCATGCCCAAACACCTGTTTTCACAGAGGGATCCTTTATTAAGCGGGGAAGAAAAGTTAAAGTGGCTGCTTTCTGACTCAGGCAGAAAAACAGAAGCCAATGACCTTGCAGGTATAATTTTTAAGAAGAGAAATGGGAGAGGTTGTGTTAGAATGGGCTCAGATGCGGAGGTGGATTTTGATTAGGCATGTTGTTAGGTGAACTAAAGGGGGCTTTTGATTGTTGGACTTTGGTAGTCATCTCAAGAACAAGTCTGGAATAAGAAAATGTCCAAGTAAGGAAATGGACCTTGCTGGCTAGCTTTAGGGGTGTTATCTATAGTTTACATGGAAGGAAAAGGGGAAAGGACAAGGCTTGCTAGCACCATGTTTGCCAGGCCAGGGCCTGCTAGGGCCCTTTCACACAGGTCTGCGATTTGCTGCTGCTGTTGTTGCTGTTGCTGCTGCTGCTGCTGCTGCTGCTGCTGCTGGTGGTGGTGGTGGTGGTGGTTCTCACCTCTTCTTCTTGACAAAGTCATGTATCCCCGATTGTCTGTGAACAACTGAAAGATGACCTTAGCCTGAGACTACAGGTGTATATCATGATATTCAGTTTCTATGGTTCTGGGGATCAAACCCAGGGCCTCATGTATGCTAGGCAAGTTTGTACCAACAGAGCTACTGCCCTGGCCCATAGGTGCTTGTTCTGTGTGTGCCTATAAGGTAAGCAAACGTGGAAATTGAACATTCTTTAGCATAGATCCTTCAAAGAAAGTGGTGGTGAGGGGTGGCATCTTGGTTTAAAAATTGCTGTTGCCATTCCTTGTGCTACAACCATACCATGGATACCTGTTCAGCAATGTAACAGAATGGAGTACCACTTCATACTGTGGCGTAGATACACATTAAAGGCAGGAACCTATGTAAAAGAAGCCAGGCGTAGGAGCCCAAGTGTTGCAAGACTCCATTTGCATTGACTTTCCAGAACTGGTGACTCCTTAGAGACAGTCCTTATAGAGAGTTGGTTGCCAGAAGCCTAGGGTAGCATGGAGCAAAGATTGACTACAGATGAGAACCGAGGATCTCTTTGGGGTGATGAAACTGTTCTAAAATTCGATTCTGGGGATAATCACACAATCCTAGATTCATTCAAAAGCATTGAATTATAACATTTGGAATAGATGAGTCTGGCACAGTGGGACTCAAACCCATAACCCCAGTACTTGGGAGGCAGAAGCAGAATGATTACCACAAATTAGAGGATTTCTTGAGCTGGTGATACATAGTAAGACCCTACCTTTAAAAAATGAATTTTCTGGTTTATAAGTTATATCTGAAAGCCATTTTTTGGTTGGGTGTCTGTTTTACCACATACACACCATCCCACTAAATATATGTAATCCACGGCAGAAAGAGGAAGGGAGTATGTTACTGGCTAGGAATCAGAAACCGCTGCTCTTGAGACAAGATACTGCTTATATTAAGTGTGGTGGTTGGCAAGATTGCTCAGTGAGTAAATGCATTCGCTACCAAGCCTGATAACCTAAGTTCAATACCTAGGACCCACATGGTGGAAGGAGATCCTCCAACCACGGTGTGTGTGTGTGTGTGTGTGTGTGTGTGTGTGTGTGTGTGTGTGCATGCGTGCATGTGCACAAGTGCATGTGTGATAAATATACAATTATAAATAAATAAATAAATGTAATAAAAATTAATGATATCAGGGCAGTAGAAATCTACAAAGAGCTTTGAATAGTTTTTGGACCCCAGGCACTAAACCCTGTGGTAAAGAATAAACACTGTCATCTTCCTAGAGGAAGACATGAGTCTGTCTGTGACTCCAGGGGAGTTCTCCAGGCATTAAGCAGTTGCATGGAAAAGCATTGGAGTAAGATGTGTGTGCTTTCACCTGACAGACATTGGAGTAAGATGTGTGTGCTTTCACCTGACAGACATTGGAGTAAGGTGTGTGTGCTTTCACCTGACAGGCAAACCTCAGAATGTGGGGCATTTGAAGCAGCAGTTGCGACTGAGAAAAAAACAAAAACAAAAATAAAGCAAAAACAGGAATGCTTCAAAGACTTGCCTAAGATCGGGTTGTTGGGGAGTCCTGAGGAACATGGGGTTTTGAAGGAGATACAGCTTGTGCAAGCCATACCATCCCACCAGCAAGGTCTGGCCAACACCACACACACTTAGCTTTCTTAAGAACTCAGCTCTGTTCTGGGAAACCCCATTCCATTGTCCATCCAGCTCAAGGTTCAGCACCAAGGAAGGCGAGTCCATTCTGCCCTCCTGCCCTAATTTTAAACTTACGTTTTCACGAGTTTTGAAATTCTAGGTATAATGAGAGGTCCAGGCTGCCCATGGTATCTGAGTTGCTGGTGATGTTCCAAGGAAAGAATTCTGGGAGCTAGCAGGTTCTTGCCTGGAGGAAAGAAAGTCCTTCTACTTGATTTGAACTTTAAATTTTAAAGAATCATCTTCTGAGATCCTGAAATGGTTTATATGGACATACTATTTTAACTTTTGTATGAATTCACCTCAATCCTTGGTCTCTCGGGCACCAAATGTATGTCTGAAGTCCCATTTGTATCTGGAACAATGTTACACCAGAAAGCTAGGCAGTGTAAAGATGGTAGATTTGGTCACAGAGCGAGACCTGCCTCAACCATGTCATCGTCTCCCCAGGTTTTTTGGTTTAGGTTTTTTTTTTTTTCCTGCTCTAAAATCAACACCGTTGCCATCCTGTACTTAGATTCTAAACCAGATGGTGTGGTGGGAAAAAATAGAGAATTCCATATGGCTTGTATGTCTTTTTCCCCCCTCTCTCCCGATATAGTTCTCAGTTTCTTTCCATGGAGGTGTTGATACTGACTGACCAGGAAGTCTTTGCCAAAGAAAAAATGTCTCTCTCACTGTGCAGTCACTATCAGAGACCACTTTACCCAAGCTTCACTGTCCCCCACCAGAAAGGTCAAGGTTGGTCCAGTGTCTTTTCCCTTCATCCCCCCTCCCAAAAAAAACCCCACATACCTTTCTTTTTGCTGTAAGACTTGATAGTTACTCTGGCCATCACCCACCCTCATCCCCCAGAGTCTCATGTAGCCTATGTTGAGCCTGAACTCTCTATGTAGATGAGGATGACCTTGAACTGCTGATCCTCCTTCCAAGTGCTGTTACAGTTTTGTTTTTTTGTTTTATGTTCTTTTGAGACAAGGTCTTACCATGTAGCCTTAGGTGTCCTGGAACTTACTATGGAGACCAGACTGGCCCCAAACTCTTAGAGCTTCACCTTCTTCTGCTTCCCAAGTGCTACTGTCCCTTAGGGTTGCTCTTTCAGAACTTAAGGATGTATGGCCACTATGTTTTAGGGTGATATCTTCAAACACTTGAAATGTATCTCAAGAGAGAAATCCTCTCCTCACTATTTGTACGAGTGCCAGGAACATGGCGCCTGTGTCTGTGATGGAGTTTCCTCCATGATTAGAAGGGTAGTCATGTCATGTAGGTTCTGATGGCCCCAGCCATTCTGATCCCTAGAGTCAACATTCAGCAACAGCTTTCTGGGTGTATAGAGCTCACGTTGGGGAAGCTCTCGA